ACACTATTGAACATGGCACTGAATTCTGATCTTTTGATTTCTTCACAATTTTTATAGGCTAGTTTTGGGAAATTATCTGAAATGTTAGACAATAATAAAAATGTTACAGAGTGTTGCATCATTTAAGCATATGATGCCAGATATTTTAGTGTGCAAAATGCACTTTGAATACTTCCATTGACCAGTCAGAGTCCAATATTTGCCATAGATATCTGTTCTTCGAAATTACTATTTAAGTTGCCATAGAAAACAAAATGGGTCTAATGGAAGAGGAATGCTATGTAATACACTTTCATATATGATCTTTCTTAAAGATCACCTGGACAATTTCAAGATCTCAAGATTCTTTTAAAATATCCTGCATTTGGTACAAGTACTTTTTAAAATGTTAACAAGGCTGGAAGTCAGAGATTTTTTATATTTATCCATCATCTGTAAGCTGAATTTACATGATCAGTGGAATTATATGATGCAGTTCATACTTGACTGTATCACTTAAGATTTTTGTATGTGTTAATCACATGTTTGAATGCTTTCCAGTACTAAAACCCACAAACAGCCTTTGTTCTAGTGTAGCATCCTCCTTTGTACATTAGGAAGTGTGCAGAGTGTTGTTTTATCAAGAAGAAACACTCAAACATATCACATGTAACTTTTAATCTGGTGCCAACAGTCCAGTAAGGGCTGCATCTCATGAGTTCACTGTTCCTGGAGGTTGGGTGCATTTCACAGGGACACCTTAGAAAGAGTAGACTTCAAAAAAAACCACAAACCTATAGTTCTGCTTCTGGACTTTCTCTTACCCCTCTTTTAAAAATCTATATGTTAAATATGTTCTAGCCCTGTGTGAGGAGAATGACTATGAGGATGAAGTGGGCAGTGAGCCTGCAGAAGCTTTTGAAGATGGAGACACGGGTGCCGAGTTGGATGATGGTATGGAGCTGTGAATTCTCTATAGTGTTGCCAAATATTATTGCAGCAGTATAAAGTCATGCTACATAATAGGACAATGATGTGTGTTTTCTTTAAGACCTAATAAGGCCTATTTTAAAAAAAGAAAAAAATCTGTGCACATGCTGTTCTAGTGGTATGAGAATAGGAAGAAGGAAAATAAATTTCCAAGTAATTGTCAGGTTTTATTCATGTGTGGAGTAGTCACCCTTAAAAAAAATGTAAAAGCTTCAGAAATAGGCAGAAAGCCTGGTTTACTGTTTAAATTTAGTCATTTATTAGGTGACTGTAGCAGGCTTAAATATCCTGAAAACACCAGCTCCCATCTGATCTTGGAAGCTGTAGAGATCTGGCCTGGTTAGTATCTGGATGGGAGACAGCCAAGCAATATTGGGTGCTGCAGGTTGTATTTAATAGGTAGGCAATGACAAACTGCCTATGAGTATTCTTTGCCTAGGAAAATGCTTAGAAGTTAATGAGGTTGCCATAAGGCAACAAGCACCTTGAAGGCACATAAACACACACACAAACACACATGGTTACTGTACCAAATTTCTTAAACAACAGCAGGTTAGTGTATACGGAACAGATTTGCAGGATGGTGGGCCAGCAACCTAATTAATCTCTAGCCAATCTCAATTACCACAGCTGCCATCCCCTTTACATATTTCTCTTGATTCTGGTGTGACAAGGTGAAATCCTAGCAGAAAATGGCAATAGATTTATACTAAGATCCTTTGTTTCTTCTTCATTTCTCATACAAATCGATGGGGAACAGATGACATCCCATCTGATGCAGAAGCAGAGTGCCGCCTCCATCAAGAAGAGTCTGAAGACCTGGAGCTGAAAGTCTCTGAAGACAAGGAGTTAGAGGCAGAGGCAGCTGCCCCATGCACTGCAACTGAAGGTACCAAAATGCCATCCAGCTTAGCTGAATTCAGTCTCTACAGCTCTAAGCAGTTTTGAGCAGTCTGCACAGTTGGCCTCTGTTGATTTCTAATGAACAGTTCACACATATTATTACTGTATGTGATAAATTGGTGAGTCAGTTGATACAGAACATTTGCTACTCAGGGATTGCTTAAAGGTATTCACCATGCAGGTTTATGTGAGGAAATGTGTTTGAAGTTGTAGAATGTTTCTGGAAGTTGCCAGATCTGCCCAATAATATGAAACTGTAGGCTGTGTATGTTTTTTTGTCATTTTTGGCAACAGCTACAATCCTATATATGTTTAGTTGAGAGTAATCCCTGCTGAATGGTTTGCTTCCAAGTAATATGTATCAAGTCAGCATAATAATATAATAGAGAGGAATAGTACATAGTGACTGTCTAGAAAGGAGAAAGAAGTAGACAGTAAACTCCAAGCACATAATGAGGTTTTCAGATGGTAGTGCTGTTGTTCATTGATTCCCCTTCAGATCCCTACGAGCCTTGTCATCCAGTCGAGTCACCATGTGAGAGGGTTGTTCCTCTTTCTCCAACTGGTAACCACAAGGAAGAACAAAAAGAGGTAGGAAAATACATTGTGATTTTTGTTACAGCAAACAGATGTGCACAGACAAACCAGACTTTGTTAAAAGAGAAGCGTAATCTCAACATATTTTAATTAGGTTATAGGGATGTTTTCATTTTCTTGTTTTTAGCAGATTAACTCAACATGGACATATCCATATCTATATGCAAGTATTTAATGGATAGCAGCTTACCAGTATGAAATGGAAGATGATTTATTTAGAATCTCTATAAAAATCATTTCCCAAAATTCTGTCATGGTCTAGATCAGAAGCAGGCAGTTTGCATGTTGCACATGCCTCCCTCCTAGCCTTTTTGTGTGTGTGTGTGGTGGCTATAGCACTAGCGTGGTATAGTGGTTTGAATATTGGACTATGACACTGAAGACCAGGGTTCAAATCCCTGTTCAGCCATGGAAACCTTGGTCAAGTCACATTCTTTCAGATTTAGAGAACGGCAAAGAGGCAAACCCATTCTGAGCAAATCTTGCCAAGAAAATCCTGTGATAGGTTCACCTTAGAAATTATGGTAGTAAGTCAAAAGGCACAAAACAAACAAACAAACAACACAGAATTTGTAACCACACCACAGAGTTTAGGCAGCGGCGGTTACAAAAAATAGAATTTCACTGTAAAGCAAAACACATAGGATGCGCTTGACTTGTTTAAATTCTTAAACATGCTCCCATAAATTCTGTATTTATTTAAAAGCTAAGCATTCCGTTGATGTAAGAATTAAGAATACCTCCATAAAACTAATAATAAAATGCCTCATAAAACTGGTGCTGAATCTAGGCTAAGCCAGGCTTTAACAGATCAAATACTTGTGTTCAAGTCACAAAAGTACCAGCTGAGATGATAGTTGAATGAATCTTGACTTATTCTCAAGGAATGCTTGACTCAGCTCCAAACTTATTCTACACAACATTGTTGGAATTTCCCCCACAAGAAAACCACGTGAAACAGATTTTCAGAAAACTAGGCTTTTACCTGCAAGTTCACAGAAAAGTGTAAGGGAAGACCAACTCAGTTTTCTGTCCTGATTTTACAATATAGTTAGTAATATTACTGCCTAATAAAAGAAGGCAGACAACTAAGAGACTGTGCTAAGAGACAGATCCTTCCCCCCCCCTTTACCTATGTTAAGTCACAAATGCTAGGAATGGCAGAACATTACACTCATTATAAATAATGAGATGCAAGACTGCTACATAGCATTATACAGCCTCAAAGAAGAAGACAGTGACTCCGTTAATTTGGATCAGTCTATGAGTACTGATGACGTAGACAAACTGCTTTGCAAGGTAAAAAAAGACCACTTGCCCTCTTGATCCCTGCCTGGTCATCCTGGGAGGTGAGGCAACTATGAATTTGTTAAAATCTGTAATTAATGCCTCCTTCAGGGAAGGCTGTTTCCCAATTAGTTTAAAACTAGCAGTAGTAACTCCTATGTTAAAGAAGCCTTCCCTTGGTCCCCTGGATAAAAATAACTACCGGCCAGTATCTCTTCTTCCTTTTTTGGGCAAGGTGATCGAGAGGGCGGTTGCAAATCAACTCCAAGCAGTCTTGGATTAAACCGATTATCTTGATCCATTTCAAACTAGCTTCAGATCAGGATACGGAGTGGAGACTGCTCTGGTTTCCTTGGTCGATGATCTCTGTCTGTGCATCGACAGGGGAAGTGTGGCCCTGTTGGTGCTCTTGGACCTCTCAGTGGCCTTCAGTACCATAGACCATGATATCCTTCTGGAACGTCTGAGAGAGTTAGGAATTAGGGGGGCTCTGCTTTGCAGTGGCTCTGTTCCTACCTCTTGGGTAGATTCCAGATGGTGATGCTGGGGGATAACTGCTCTTCTGAAAAAGAGCTGACATTTGGCGTACCTGAGGGCGCCATCCTGTTCCCCTTGCTTTTTAACATTTACATGAAGCCGCTGGGTGGGATCATCTGGAGACATGAGGCAGGGTGTTATCAGTACACTGATGACACCCAAATTTACTTCTCTAAGGGGGGGTTGCAGACTGCTAGAAATAGTGCAAATTGAGTCCACTTTTAGGGTTAGGGAATCATGGGAACTGTATTTTATTGTGGCACCGGAGCTCTCTGACAGAGAAGGCTCAATGTCTCAGAAAAAAAACAATTTCCATGATTCCCTAGCACTAACCCTAACCCTAAAAGTGGACTTAATTTGCACTATTTCTGGCAGTCTCAACCTCCCTAAGTCTCTGACTGTTTCAGTGATCAAAGAGAGCATCTCTCCTCTGAATGACTGCCTGAGGTCAGTAAATTGATTGGATGAGGGAAAATAGATTTAAGCTGAATCCAAACAAAACAGAGGTATTTGTGATAGCTAACCCTAACCCTGGTATGGAGAAGTTCACCAGTCCTGGGATGGGGTCACACTTCCCCTGAAGCACTGTGTTCAGTGGGTGTGCTCTTGGACTAGTCACTTCAATTGTCATTTCAGATTGATGTGACGGCTAAGAGTGCCTGTTATCGGCTTTGGCTGATACGCCAGCTGTGACCCTACCTGGAGCCATGGGACCTAGGAACAGTTGTACATGAGCTGATAACCTCTCGTCTCAATTTCTGTAATGCACTCTAAATGGGGCAACCCTTGTGCCATGTTCAGAAGCTTCAACTGGTACAAAACTTGGCAGCCAGACTGGTCACAGGAAAATCTAGGTTTGACCAGATAACACTTATTTTGAAATTTTTACACTGGCTGCCTGTTAGCTTCTGGGCACAGTACAAGGTGTTGGTTATTACCTATAAAGCCCTATATTGGCTTGGGCCCAGCTTGCTCAAAGGAACGCCTCCTCCCATATAATCCTTCCCACACTCTCAGGTCCTCTGGGAAGAATTTACTACAGTCAAGGAAAACTAGGACCTTTTCAGTTGCCTCTCCTAAAATTTGGAATCAGCTGCTGGAGGAGACTCGCCAGATTACATCTCTTGATGTTTTTAAAAAAGTAATAAAAACGATTCTCTTCCGGCGTGCCTTCCCAGACTGACCTCTGCCCTGCTTTGCTTTGCTTTGGACAGAACTAACTGCCTATGTGATCTACCTCCCCTAGACATTTCTACTGTTCCGAACTGTTTTTAATTGTTTTTTAGTTACAGGGATTTTATTGTTGTAATTTTATATCAAAGGATGGATGGAGTGAAGGGGTAGGGGGTTCAGGGATTGTTTCTTGTTATTTAGTTCTGTATTTGTTTTAATTTTTGCTGTTACCTGCCTCGATCCTCAACAGGGAGAGGCGTTGTTGTTGTTGTTGTTGTTGTTGTTGTTACAGAATAGTGTTCCGTGGGCACTTAATGGAACAATGTTTGTCCAAAAATATAAATTATCCCTGTACCTGCTCAGAATTATTTGCCAAATGTCTAAAAAAGTTGGGGCTATTTTCACTGTTATCCATGCAGTGCACATCCTTTTAATATTTTTAGACTTACATTTTTTCTCATTTCTGGGTTTTGACAGTTTAAAATGTTATGGAGTCTTCTAGTACAGTGATTTTCAAACTGTACCAAAATTCCTCAATGAGCTGTTAAGAAATGACAGACAAACTTTTCTGAGAGGTAGTTTGACCACCGATATACTTTTTTTTCTGCAGTGGGCCACCTATAAGAGAGGTAGAATAGGCTGGGGAACATGTGGCTTTCTAGATATCTTTGAACAGCAGTTTTAACAGTCCTGGCCAGCATAAATATGAGCGGGCTTGCAGTCCAGAAACATCTGGAAGGCCATCCATTCACCATCCCTGCTCTGAAATGTATCCTAGGGTGCTATAATACAACTGTGGCAAATATGGAAGAGCTCTTTGGCTGATGATTTGAAATGGTAATGGCTTCCTAATATGAAAGGTTAGAAAACTATTGTTTTAAATTCTGTTCTTGGTACTGTTGGTGATGCTCTGTGATTGCTTCTTTTCTATAGGACTCAAAGGAACATCTTGCGACCGTGTCCTGCAAAGAGAGCTCCTCAGATACACGCTTTTTCCCTGAACCATTCCTCCCAGAAGACAAGAATGAAAAACAAGACAATAGCCTTGATGATGAAAAAGTCAAAAGTCCACCTGTCTCACTCTCTCCAATTCGGTCCCAGCCAGTTGCTCTGCCTGAGGCTGTTGCACCAATATCTCCCATGAAATCACAGCCGTCTTCACCCACTATACCTACATCTCCACCTGCTACCCCTCTGCCTATTTGTTCACAGCCTTTGCCCTCTGGTGAAGCATCAATTCCATCTCCAGGGGAGCCACCGGTGTGTTTTCAACCAGTCCCAGCCTTAACTTCCACTCCTTTGGCCAAACTTGCCCTAAAAAGTCAAGATGGAGAGATGGAAAAACTGCCAAGTCCTACTACAGCAGAAGAAGCTTTGAAAAGGAATAACCTTGTGGAAGAGTTTTGGATGAAGAGTGCTGAAATCCGGAGAAGTTTGGGTCTTACCCCTGTGAACAGAACCAGGGGATCAGAGCCAAGCTTTACAATTTCACCCCTTGAATCTTCCCCTCTGAAATCCTATACTCCTGATGGGGTTCCAGAAGAGAAAAGTGTCCACCTTGTAAAACCACAACCAGCCCCAAGAAAGCCACTCACTCCAAAGCTTGATGAGCAGTTTTCTTTGCTGACACCAAAGTCTCCATCAGAGAGAGAGTTGAAAAATTCAAATGATGTTAAAAGAGATTTGTCCAGCAGTTCTGGACTAGGTCTTCAAGGCAGTTCGTCCAACATGAGGACATTGGCTAGCCAAAGTTTCAATACTTCTGATTCCACTATGCTCACCCCCCCATCCAGCCCTCCACCACCACCACCTCAGAATGAAGAGCCAGCAACGCTGCGAAGAAAAAGGCACCAGGCAACTTGGCAGAATGAAGCAGAGTCTAGGCCAGCTTCCATGCAAACTCCTCACTCACCACCAGCAAATGAACGGATCCGACCAGCCAAGGACTCATCCCAGCCTCCTAGAGAGGAAGTGAGAAAGTCGTTTGTGGAGAGTGTGGATGAGATACCATTTGCTGATGATGTAGAGGACACTTATGATGAAAGAACTGAGGATACAAGCATTCATGAAAAATACTACACTCCACCTAGCAGGCCAAGGCCAGAGAAGCCTCTTCACCTTCATTTGGTTAAAGAAAATGGTGGGCCACCATCACTGGAAGGAGGAAGTCATCAGAAGAGAGGCCTCCCTCAAGTATCTGCAGAAGCTAAGGAACTAGCTGAGGAGAGAATGAGGGCCAGAGAGAAATCTGTCAAAAGCCGAGCCTTGCGTGATGCAATGGCTAAGCAGCTCTGTAAAATGAAAGACCTGGAGATGGCCAATGCTGCTGGCACTGCCAAACCGTGCAAAGCATCTACCTTGCCCTCAAAGACCAAAGAGATGTTTTTTGAGTCTCCTAAACATTTGGGTATG